TTTCAGCTATAAAGAGGACTAATTACGTAGGTCACATAATAGGGGTAACACCCAAACAGTCAGTTTTGTACATAACGCTGATGTTGCGATTTAAATAAATAATTCAATAATTGTGCTTTGTTATACATCTGGAAAAATTATCCTTGAACTCTGTTTAACAGGTAATAGAGGGGTGCAGAAACGCGAAATGACTGGTAAGGGAGGTATGGAGGGGTCAGCCTCACAAACGGAAATGGAACCTATTTCTTTCGGGGCTTTGCTTAATAAAAAGTTACGGAATGAATGTCATTTTTGCCCTCGGGTCCTTCCTGCGAAGAAAATACAAAAGTGCAAAGCAGTGGGCATTGGCAAGATTCGAACCTTTGAGCTTCAGCTTTATAGGCTAGCGTGTTAACCACTCGGCTATTCTGCGCAAATCGTGCGTCCCACTCATCTGGTATAACACCCTGCATTTTTGTTGTGCGCTGTGATCCCAATGTCTATAACTTTATCAACTTTATCATGAGCAAATTGTCACCACATAATGCGGATGGTAATGCGAAGTGAAAAGAATTCGTGCCGTTTCACAGCCATCTGGACGACTCCATCCGGAATGCCCTTATCCTTGCCTCACTGTTAGAGAACGTATGGGACGTACTAATTAAATTATTAATGTAATGGAAAAGTTTCATGATAAAAAGGATATAAAATTCATAAAGGAATGTTGCCTATTTGCCCGTTCTCGTGCTTTGAACAAACCCGTATTAAGTAGTGAGCTCCACTAAGGGGCCAGTCCTCTGGATCACCATCGGACTCGAACCAATGACCCACAGATGGATACATGGTTAGGAGATTACCGATTAGGTTATCCGAAGATGATCTTGGTCAAAACACCCGCCAGACAACTACCACAGTTCTCTAGCGAAACCAAACAAAGGCTAAGCCCCACATGGAACTCCCAGATCGGCATCGTTCTGCTCTACCAAATGAGCCATGCATCCATGTTTCTAGGGTACATACCTATTAGCAAGTCAAGACCCAACAGCGCTAAGTACATACTAGTAGCTTTACTTGGAAATAGGCCCTCAGATGAGGTTGGCGAGGGGAGGGGGGTAGGACTACGACGCGAACTCTAGGGGGTATCGCTATGGCGAGGATCCAGGGGAAGTCGATTTCCATAGATAGAAAATACAAGCTAAGCGAACCCTAAAACAAGTGCACGAGTCCAGCGTTATCCAGAATTTTCAGACTGGTACACTGTAATAAGATAGTTCCAGCTCTAATTAGTTGACGGAAACAACGTCATAACTTTTCTCCCATCCAAGATTCGTGACAATCTTGGCTAGGAAACTCCAGGGCCTCTATGCATGATTAAGATTACCAAGGGTGAACGTGTTAGCGCCCGTATTAACTTGGGTAAATTTGTTTGGTTTTAACACGTTATCTCTGGGTAATGATGCATGCGACTCCGCAAGTGTTGCAAGCTCCGGACAAAATAGGAATTCGGGGTAGTCTTGTTAATCAGTTCACGGCTGTGATCCAGGAGCAAATCCAAGAACCCTCAAAGGGAGGGGGGAGGGGGAATCCGTTGATTCCCATAGTCGCGTGGTGAGATAATCTTGAAGTCGAGATGAAAACCACTACGATAAAAAAAATAATTAGGTTTCCTTGCAATATGTAGCAGCGGTCAGCAAAATATAACCAGAGAATATGTTGACGATAGTTTTTTTATACACAAGCATAGCTCGTATGAAAATAAAGAAAATTACAAACAAACAGTCAGAAAGAACAGAGGAACCTCGGTACAATACCAAAAAAATAAGAAGACAAGAAAAAAATCAGACAACACATCTCATGGATCAAGACAACTGTCATCAAGACCATTTTTTGCTACATTTCCATTGAAGCTATGTTGTGGAACGAAGGAACTTATACTGAACTTCATCACTATTTTGTCCTGATAACTTCGAATTTTGTTCTTATAGCTCAATCCATAGTTGGGACATAGAAAATTGGCAACTACTGTATATTTGTGTATAAAAAAAGACACCGAGGTGAAAACTGAACCTCCTAAGCTTATCGGATAGCCAATGCACTGCTTACCCTAGTAAAATTTCATCCAAAGGTAATTCAATCATTGGTGACTACACATTTAAATCATCCTCTCTTCATTCCATCCATTTAAGTAAGCTGGAGTTATAAGCCCCCATCCAGAGATGATTAGGCTATCTAATTTTTCACGAAAACGAAAAATAGGAGCATGTGGCTCAGTAGAAGGAGGGGTTGCTGCACGCCTTTCTGTGGCTTGTTCCTCGATCCGAGCCAAAGCCAACTGACCCTTCTACCCCTCTGAGGGTTTTGCTCTAGGGCTAGTAGAAAGGCATGTAAACATGGAAATCAGATATAAATAAATAAATAAATGAATCATTAAATTTCCTTGCGTCAAGGTTCAAGCCATATCAACAGTCCAAGGAATTGATAGTCGCAGATCACTCCATCCTTCACTGACTAAGAGATGTGTAAATTCGCAATTCAACGCGGTTTTTGGATAGCGAACGTACTGGAATTCAGCACCAACGATGCTGTGGGTACTTCTGGGTACTTTTATCAAGTGTAATTTTCAGAACAAAAATTAATTTTACTCTTATTTCAGTCAGAATTAATAGAATTAATGAATGAGAACTTCTCAGATTAAACCCCCTTTTTTGCTCTTATCTTCAAAGGAGTGGATGATCAGCTACGAAGTCCCTTCTGCTCACCTCATCTCTTACGAAACCCCGCTTACCTTGAGTCAAGTCTTTGCCGATGTTTGACAGCAATCCCAATGGAGATTTCTACTCGATGTGAAACAGGGAATTTTCGGATCTAATTTTCAAATTACGAGCAGTTCACAAAATT